GTTCCTTGAAGAAAGACTCATTGTTTTTGATACTAACACTGAGATGTTGGTGCATGCATCTCTAATCTGCATGTATCTATTACTAGTCATAATCGGTTGCACTTAGATCCTTGGCACCTCTGTATGTCTGTAACGTCATTGGGTAGATTTGAATTTTAAGTTTTGTGGAAAACATACTGGGGAATATAAAGAGAATAACTATATTGGAGAGTTTTATACTACGATATTGTTATATGACCATGTAAAGCTACTTAAATTCTTTTCTACATGTTGGATCCTTGTGCTTCAAGTGAAGTTTTTTTTTTTTTTTTTTTGAATATGTGATAGGCACGTTTTGTTGTTGTTCAGCAGAAGAAAGCAACACTCCGTAAGCTACAGGCCATGCTGCCATGCTGTACTTGCAAACTGGTACAGGTGGAGAAAGAAAGAACTGGTTTCAAAGAACTGCCCTGTTTCATGACAATCACCGCATCCACAGAGATGTAAATTAGTCGCAAAACAGCCTCTGTTTCTTTTTAGGCTCAGCATGTTTAGCCCTACCTTCCTGTGAAAGCAAGCCTGCCTACTAATGTACTAAAAACCGAAGCCACAGATGTCACATGTGTAGAACTTTCTGCCCACGTGTGTCCTCTGGTGTCCGGAAAGGGCTAAGGGGTATCAGAAGCTCTTCTCATTTGCTGCACTTATACAGCACTTATACAGCTGTGGGTCCTCTGGTGGGAGATGAGCTCTGAGCTTTGGATGAAGGCTTTCTCACACATCTCACATCCACAGGGCTTCTCCTCAGCATGGGTTCTCTCACACATAAGTGCTAAGCTTTCATGGAAGTTTTGCTCACTTCAAGGCACTGGTGTATCTGATTATCTATTTCCATGATCTCATGTATATGAATGAAAATCTTTTTGCCCTTCTGAGGGCAAACATGGTATATTATTCCCTTTTGAGTTCTCTGGTTACATCTCTCTTCTGAAGTGTACATTTTCTATGGCTCCCTCCTAAGTGCTTTTCCATTGGTCTTCTTGACACTTAATGCTTTCATGGTCATTTTCTTCATAACTTCAAACATACATCTATTTCAAGCCTTCCATTTATTAGCAGTTTGGTTTTACAAGTTTCCAGCATCATATATATAAATTTCCAACCTAGAGTCTGGACAGGAGAAAAGCAGCCTCGCTTCCCGCTTCCCAGCCCTCAGAACTTGATCTTCTCAAGACTGACAGCCTTTCAGCCGGTCAGGCCTCGGCAGTACTTCTGGCGGTCAGACACTCAAGCCGGGGCTTCGGGCAGCACTCTTCTCGCCGAGCCCCACTCGACAACCAGGCCGCCTGCCCCCTCATTTGTTGGAGAGCCTTACTTGGGTTTGCACCCCCCTAGACAAAAATCAGGAAAGATCTAAGTGTCCAAATGAGAAAAGCTGGCCTGTTTTCAGTTCTTGGGGTACATCAGGGAACACATGTCGGTGAACACCTCACAAATGCTTAGGAATATGAGGGGCTTGAAGCTGCTATCTGATTGGGTCCCTGAGAACTGCTCTGCAGAGAGGTTACTCCAGTGAAATCTAGCTGTGAGTGAGAATCTACTCAATGTGGACAAGAAGAGCTGTTCTCAGAAGTGGCTGGACCATGTTGTCGAGAAACTTCAAATGGAGTTGGCTTGGAAGTAGTCTGAGATACTCAGAAGTGTGTTCTGGGAGGAGCTAGGGCAGGTCAAAGTAGGCCTGATGGGTAACTCAGGTAAAGATGTTTTTTAATCTGAACTGCTTAGTAATTGCTTATGTTGTGCCCAGTTCGTGAGATCCCAAAGACCACCATGGAGCCTACAGATGCAAACACACAAGGGTTCTTTTATTGTTACAAGCTCAAGCTTGGGCCCACTCTGTCACTGACCTAGCAGATCACAGAAGTGAGACCCCTTGCTTTGGGAGACAGAGGTTTTTTATAGGTTTATTTCAGCAAGTTCAGCAAATAGGGGAGTAGGGGGTCTTCAGCCTGGCAAGCATCTGATTGGTTGCAGCTCAGTGCCAAACTATAAACTGCTGGCTTCAGGAAATATGAAAAGATATCTGGACTTTTAGTACTTTCCTGTCCCTGGTTAATTGACCATTGGCAGGGGAATTGTTCTCTATCCGTTCCAAGTATTGTGGTTTTTCTTGAAACAGGGCCCAGGGTTGGGTCAGTCCTATGGAGGTTTTATGCAAGATGGAGTCACTCAGGTCTCTCACTTACTTTTATTTTTTAAAATCCATAAATCTAGTAAAGGACAGGACTGTGATCTTGCAATATGAGGTGTAGGGTATATGTCATGTCAGAGGAAAGGAGTCCTTTGATTTTTGCCTCCTGTTTTTTTTTTTTTCTCCCTTTCTTTAAAAGTTTTTAAATTTAATTTCATGGCTAGAGTGGGAGTTGTGTGTTGTTAGCAAGTCAAGAACCTTTCGCAAGCTGTGAAAAGAACTAAGAAGCTACTTTGGATTAAGATTCCCAGTAGTTTTCCCCTTGGAGGATCAGGCCCGCAAAGGGCAGAATATTCAGCTGTTTGCTAGGTGTTGAGGCCTGCCTTCAGAATTGTCCTTTTCTCTAAAATATCTGTATGTTATCATTGGTACTTGAAATTTCAAATTTAGAGATTCATTTCTTTTCAACCCAAAGTACAATCCAAATGTGATGAGGTAACAGTGTCCAGATTTTTGTGACTTGCTTTACTGCCTTTCAGTGGTAGAACCTCAGTTGCTCCAGTTCCTAGGGAGCATGAAGCCTGAGTGAGATGAGACATAAGTGAGGTGCTGATGGAGGAGCAGGACCTTGTTTCTGAGTCCCGGCTCCAGAGCTCACGCTCTTCCTTCCCTTGTCCTGCTCCTTGTAGCCAAGCAAGCCTTAGGACACATTTTAATTTCAGTTTTGCCAAGGAAAGGAAAGTACCTTTCAGGCACAGGGAAGGATTGCCGTCAGCACAATAGGTAGTATATGCTTGGCCCAGAATTTACGATTCTAAATGCTAGAAGGAGAAAGTGGCTGGTAGAGCCACCACGAGTGTCAGCGTTCTCTGGGTAGTCCCAGGCCCCTGATTCTAAATGGTTACTTCTCAGTGTTTTCCTTGGCTTAATAGATACTTAATAGTTACTTCTCAGTGTTTTCTTTGCTTAATAGATACTTCAATTTCTTGTAGGATATGGGTCTCTGTAGACTAATAACTATTTTGTTACTAGTCTGAGCCCTCTTTAGCAGACCTCATATCAATTCCAGCGGTACTATTGTTGCAATTTGTGACTTTGGTCAGCTGCTAGTTTGTGGCTTGTGGACTTAGCCCACATGAGGAATCTAGTTCCTGGATTTTTTTCTCTTACAAAACAGGTTCTATAAATTTATTTAATCTGATGTATTCTGGTAATATTTATAAATAGCTCTTTTTCTATAAAGTTGCCCAGTGTGGTAGAACACACTAGATACATATTTTTCTCTTTGGTGAAAATCATGCCTATTACTAGAGTTAGGTTTGATGACTGTGATACTTAAAATATTAATACTGGGTGTTTGGCATGGCAATAATAAAAATTAGTCATTATGGCTGCTCCTTCATCAGTAGACAGACCATGGAGAAAGGGACAAAGTTAATATCATTAGCAGGCTGGTGACAAACCCTTCCTTCAGCTAATCTTGATAGTAATGGTAGTCACTAAGTAAGTTAACAGTGGACCATCCCTCTAATGGAACTTTGGGGATGTAAAAGCCTGAGGACTTTAAAACCGTGGTGGGGAGGTGCTGGTATTATCCATGTAGCATGACCTGAGTTTGGAGAGGACCATTTGGGCCCTGTAACCAGAACAAGAAGGTAATCCTGGAATGGATGGAGGCTCCTTGAAGCAGTGCCAGCCCAAATCTGCCTCAGGTAAGTAGAGTAACTCTTTCAAGATTTCAGACCAAATGAGATAAATTATATTCTGTTCATGTACTATGCTTTAATGTTTTTGTTTTCTTTTAATTCTTAAACAAACATTTGTTCTGAAAAACAACAACAAAAAACAAACAACAACAACAACAAAACAAACAAACAAACAAAAAACCCTGAAGCCTAAGAGATTTCAAAAAGAAAATTTCTGGTCTCTTGGACTATCCCAACTAACAACTTGAAGTGAGGTCCTCCTGTCTGGCACTGTGATTCTTGTTATATAGCCTTCAGATATACACACACACCCACATTCAGATATTGTATGTGTATTTTTCAGTAGGTGTTTGAGCTAATACATTTCCTTCTGTTTTTTCACACCACCTAAGCTTTATTTATCTCTCTCCTTGTTTAACCTCCCTCCTCCCTCTCCAGTTAAAGTACCCCCATTTTCTCCTTGATAATACCTGTCTCCTATTATGCCCTCTCTTGAGCTCCTAAACCTCAACCACTCATGTCTCAGGGACCATTGCAAAAGAAGGGGCAGAAAGATTGTAAGCCAGGGTTGGTGCATGATCATAAGGAAACAGAGTCTTCCAGGCCTCTGGGAACTTGCTCATATGAACCTACAGCAGTGGTGGCAGCATGGCCAAGGCCCAGGCTTATTCAGTCAGACAAAACCCAGTATAGAACTGGGGAAATGGAAAGCAGGCCTAACCTTAGCTGAGGAACTACTGGGAGCTGATTTCTGCTGGGTGAGGGAGAGTTTATCCTCTTTAAGGGAGTGACTATAGATAGAATGACTAGACTCCAGTAGATGAACTTGCACTGAGGGACATCTGGGTAAACAAACTTGACTTGATAGGGCTTAACATATGTGACAGAATGCATGAAATCTGGTGGTGGTGGGGGTTATGGAAAGGTGCAGATGCAGATGGGGGAGGGGGACCTAAAATGACTAAGATGTATGAAATGTACAAAAGAAATACACATTAAAAGAAAAAAGTTTCAGTTTGTAGAAATTTAAGACAATTGTAAGAAATTAGATTGTTTTGCTCATATTCAGGAGAAGCAGCTCAGGGACTGTAAAGTACAAAAAATTTATGTTAGAGTATCTTAGACAAGAATTCTGTCTAAGCCCAATTTGGGCTAAATAACTTTAAAGCTAATTTCAATTATTAGGTTTTAAGTATTTGTACTACAGGAAGATAACTATATGAAGCAATGCATATGTAATTACCATGAATTAGCTATTCCACAATGTAAAATATTTGAAAACATCATGTTGTGTATAATAAATATATGCAGTTTAATTTCCTAATTAAAATAAAATATTAAAAAAGGAAATATACTGCTTCTAAAAGATAAATGTGTCCTTTTGGTTATGTTTTTTTTTTTTTTTAAAGAAAGTGCTCAGATAACATTAAGGCTCATCACCATCATCACAATCATGATCACCATAGTTATCATTTCACCATTTCCATCACTATCATCACTTTCATCATCTCACTATCATAAGCATGTTCATCACCTGTGGATGCCCACTGCAGTGCCCAATACTGAAAAACTAAATCAGACCAGGAGACCCTTGGCTTGTGCCAATTCAAGAGCCTTTCACTGCCCTTCTGAGAGTCTTTATTGGAAGCTCAGTGTTTCAAGCTCACACAGAGCTTACATGTGATAAGTGCTCAAGCAGTGCAAAACACATAAGAATTTCCCCATCATATATAAGAAAACAGAACAGTGTGCCAAGGCTGTGGTCACTGGCCCAGTAACAGACCTCTTTTGGTGCAAGCAGAAGCATAAGTAGGGAGGGGGAAGCAACCTGTCCTAGCATTCCAGAGACAGCTGTCTAATCAGTTTGTTCTCAGCATCCTGTAGCAGGCTACCCCGCCTTAAGCCTCCCCATCAAGAAGGTCTGAAGAAGTCACTACCATTACCTTCAATCACGATCACAATTATCACTCCAAGGCTGTGGTAACAGACCTCTTCTGGTGCAAGCAGAAGCATAAGTAGGGAGGGGGAAGCAACCTGTCCTAGCATTCCAGAGACAGCTGTCTAATCAGTTTGTTCTCAGCATCCTGTAGCAGGCTACCCCGCCTTAAGCCTCCCCATCAAGAAGGTCTGAAGAAGTCACTACCATTACCTTCAATCACGATCACAATTATCACCATCATCATCACACCATCATAATCATGCTCATCACCTTCATCATCACACCATCACAA